AAAATGTGTGGAATGATATGTCAAAACTTTTTACAAATGCCCGTCTAACCAGCAGAGAAACTCTGTTATATTCAGTGTTTCATGCTTGGGCCAGCATAAGCCCTGAACGCATTAGACAATTAAATGAATCTTTGCTTCGTAGACTGGCACCTATTATTAGGTCAAGTGGCTATGCCACTAAGTACTAATTTTGGACTTGAAACTACATATTTTGGTAGAATGTATATTTTGTTCTCATTTTGTGATTTTTTGTGAAATTTGATGTTAATAAAATGATACCAGGAGCATATCATTCCACAGTCATTTATCTCCCCCATAGTATTGGCTCAGTAGGGGTAACACTTCTTTTGTCCAGTGGGTGTACTATTAGCATTCGCACCACAACTAACACCAACACCAATGGCAACCAAGGTCCATTTTTTTTTATGCAATTTTGAATATATTGTAGTTACAGCAAACAACTATGGGCATCTATGTCTTAAAAGTTAACAATGCTGCATTTGCGAACATTTTGTCGTCCTACTAAGGAATGGGTGGTTTTCATCCACAAAGTCAAGGTGATCACCATTAAAAAAATTATTTTGAAATAATTGAAAAAAATTACGATTAGTATAAGATAATACCTATTTAACGGGAACACTTTTTTGTTATTATTTCGATGATTTCTTGCAAAAAGTTTTTCTTCATATACCTTTTTATTTAATGACGAGAAGAACATGTTACTTGTAATTTTTCATTTTAGTGACATATGGTAATTGCAGTTCTTTTGTAAATTTCGTTTTTTGTGGTTGTAGATTGAACGTTTCAATCTTCCACCAATCGACAAAACTCCACTCACAGAGAAAGATGTATGGTCGCACTACAAAAATTTTGGGCGCAGTGACCATATTAGTTTTTGGCTAAGTAATCTCCCAGCAGTTTTGATAACAGACACGGGTGAGCTTGTTCTTTAAAAACTGTTTTTCCTCAGTTTCGCATTTCATAATTATGCAAATGATGCGGCACACACGTACATGTATCGTTATGTTATAACCCATGTGCATGTACTTAATCATTTTTCATATATGACATTAATTGGCAACAGCAAACCGCTTTGAACAAGCATAAACTTATCATTGTAACATTTTATTGAAGTATAAAAACATTCTGAATGCAAAGCGACATCACCTTTGGGATGTATAGAAACAACGTGTGAACTTTTCAGTGAGGGTTGTTGTTTTCAACATTTTCATTGGGTTCCAGCTAATTTCCGCGGCGCAATGAAGAGTTGCTACCACACCACGTGTGACGGCATCGCTCTTGTTACAGACGACAATCTGGAATTCCTAGCACAGACCACAAAAACGATTATCAACACTATGGGGAAAATGTCTGGAATTTCTTGCCTGCTTTCAAGTACATCGTTAAATTTTACATTTGGTAATAACCTTTATAATTTACTTAAACGAAATTAAGCCATGAGATATGATACAGTTATAATCAATTTATCATACTGAATGATGACTAGACTCTTTTCTTAGATGATAACCATATATATTGCTCTTCACTTGCTGTGCTGGCTCTGTTAGTAAAAAAAAGGTACTTAAGGATAAACATAACATTTTTTTAAATTGAATATTTCGAGTAGTAACAATTTTGTCACTATTTCAACTCTTTTACTCTAACATACGACAAATGGAATGTACTGAATAATGTATGTGCGATAGATTTCTGTGCGTCGTCCTTTAGTCAATATCGATCATGTCTAATACGTGTCTTAAATTTCAGCCAATATAGGCGTGGACTGGACCATTTCGGGATTCGCACCCGCTCTTGTAGCGTTGACAACATCGATATCAATTGGACCCTTATTACTATAAGAACAAACCGTCGTTACGAGTAACCATATCCTGCAGTGGTTGATTCAGCCGTTGTAGAGGCAAGTGGAGTAAAGGTTGACCCAGTCACTGCAGACAGGCGGTGCGCAGTGGTTGGCTCAGCGGTTGGAGAAACTGGTTGAGCAGTGGTTGGTGCGGTAGTTGTAGAGGTATGTTCAGCAGTGATCATGCAGTGTAGCCGCTCTAGAACCGGGATGAGCTGTGGTTGGCTAGGCAATTGCAGATGCGTATTAAGGGGCGGTTGGTGTGGGTTGAGCAGTGCTTGTATCATCAGATGTAATACCGAGTTGTACGGTGGTTGAATCAGCCGTTGTAGAATCGGGTTGAGCACTGGTTGATTCATCAGTTGTAAGAGCAGGTTCAACAGTGGTCGGTTCAGCCGCTGAAGATGTGGTAGTCGGTTCAGTCTTTGTTGTGGCGGATTGTGTGGTGGTTGGCTCCGTCGTTGAAGTAGCGGGTTGCGTGGTAGTTGGTTCAGTCGTTGTTGTGGCGGGTTGCGTGGTGGTTGGTTCAGTCGTTGTTGTGGCGGGTTGCGTGGTGGTTGGTTCAGTCGTTGTTGTGGC